GTGAAAAGATTTCATAATATTTAAGCAGATGTTTGAACATCTGTTTCCGAGTCAACACAGTGAACGGGCCCTTCAGAGAAGTGCCCACTTGAAATTCGTTTCCATCTCGTGACATTGCTTACTCTGTGTTGAGCAGTCAGTTTTGCATATTGCAAAGTCTGCCCAGAGGCCTGAAATAGCTCAAAGGTGAGACATGCCTCAAGCGAAAACAATGCTCACACGACTGTTTAGGGCAATCACCACGCTGGATACAGAGCGGACTGCAGGTTCGTTAAGTCTTATGTTTATGAGAATGACTTAGTGAACAGCGACCAAAAGGTTTTAGTAGGAATCAAACAGAGTGAAGGAAGGAAAGCTGACTCCCCGGGGTACAGCCTGAGAGCTGCTTGCCAGTCCCGGAGGAAGAAGCTGATGTAACGGTGTCTAACGTTCAGATCACTGAGCTGCAGAGAATAGCCCCAGGGGCCCTGGGCAAAGATGGTGTTGCTTTCATCTGGTCTCATGTGGAAACATGTAAGTGGGAAATCAGAACCCAAATGGTTGCCTACATAGGAACCAGACAACCTGGGTTTTTTAATCTGTTTTAAGCGTGCTCTGGGTGTGCCCAAGGCCCAGTGCAGAGGGTCTGTATGGGGCCTGCCTGTGTGGTGGGATAATGGTACCTTTCATGGGGCTTTTGTGAAGACTCCAGGAAAGAGCTCTGGACTGGGAGTTGGGATGTAGCCTTAGATTAGTCCCCACCTATGAGCCAGATCCAGTCTCCCCACTATAGTTTCACTTCACAGTCTCCCCTCAGTCCCTCCTTCCCAGTCCTCTTGTCTCTGCTCTGGACCAGTGCTGCTCCAGCCTTCCCAAGGTCACAAGGTTTTCTAAATTATCTTCCTGCCCCCAGGTTCTCATATTTTAATCCATCCTTTGAGAATTATCGTTTCAAGGTTACATGAATACAAAATTAATACATATCTATAACAGAAAAGATGTTAAATATAAATAGCAAAAGAACCAAAATCACTCATAATACCACTTTTATTTTTTTAATGGATATGAAATGACAAGTAAAACTCCTCCCTTCCTTCTCTCCTGCCTCTTAGGTCCTCAGCTCTGTAGCCACCGGTGAGCGATCATTTTATATTCTTCCAGACTTTATTGTATGCTTATAGGACTATATAATTTTGTTTTCTTCCAAATAAAAATACAATTAGGTAGGTTATGAATATGATTGTTCTGTATTTTTTGTTTTGCTTACAATGAATACTTTTTCCAAGTTAGTATATATGAATCTACTTTCTTTTTAATTACTATCTGAATTTCCATTAATGAATATTCTGTAATTGAGCCAACCATTTTCTTATTGACGGAGAGTACTTCCCCAATCTGTGGCTAGTAAAAAGCCCTGCAGTGAGTGTTGCTGGACATACACTTTTAATGTAATTAAGCAAGGGTTTCTGAAGGATAGACAACTAGAAGTAGAATTTCTGTTGAAATCGCTGGGTCAAAGGTCATGCACATTTTAATGTTGATAATGTCAAGTTGCCTTACTTTCTGCATGTCTTTCTTCACTCCCATCAATCCCAGGGTGACCATTTTTCCTCACCAAAGGTGGATGCTATCAACCTATTGGAATGTTGCCAATCAAATAGGTGAGTAAGATATCTTGGTATTATTTAAATTTTCTCTTATTTAATAATAACCGAGACATTTCCGTTTTTTCCTAATTGGACATTTATATCTTTTCATTTCTATTTGTATTTTTTGTCAATTTTCTTTTTGGCTGATTGTCTTTTACATATTTATTAGTGGAATGTTAGTAAAATATTGTGGATATTAATATTTTGTTTTTACATATATTTTTCTCCCAATTTCTTACTCACTTATCTTTTAACTTTATTTTTATCTCTTTAAATAAAAGTATTTTAATTTTTAATATGTTAATTTTTTATGGTCTGTAGGTTTATATTATGCTAAGAAAATCCTTCCCCGACCTACAATTGTAAATCTATGTTTTATTCCTTCTAGCATTTTTGTAGTTTAGGGGTTTTTTTTTAATGTCTAGGTCTTTAATTAATTTGGAATTTATTTTTATAAAAGATGTGGTGTAGAGATCTAACTAGATTGCCAAGTATCTTAATACCATTTGAAATAATCCTTTGGCCTATTATTTCAGAAATTCCACAATTGTTTTCTTCCTAAATTCCCAGATATGTTAGTAGATATTTTCAAAATAGACTGTGTGTGTGTGTGGTGTGTGGTGTGTGTGTGTGTGTGTGTGTAATTGCTACATGTATACATATGTTTTAATATCTGGTGGGCAAATTTCCTATATTACAGATTTCACCTTAAACACAGCAATAATGTCTATGGTCTACAGGGCATAAAACAATAAATGAAATTATGCTCAAGAAACTCTGATTTACTTATAAAATGTGACGCTATTCAAAAGCATACACACAATAATGTTTAATTAGTTTTCTTTAAATATTGCAAAATATATTGTTTAAATTAATATGCAAAGTAGCATTGCAGAAAATATTTCTTTTTAAATATTATCTCACCATCTGGTTAAAAAAACTTTTTAAAAGAGCAATTTTCTGTCACTTCTTTTAACTGAGAGTAAATTATTGCTACCACATTTTATAGTGTGTGTCATGACATAGCTTCAATTAGGGAACAATTTATTCTGTCCAGTGAGACAGAATAAATGGCTCACAGTGGCAGTCCATTTTGCCATTGCCAGGCCTTTAGTCCAACAGAAATAGAATTTTTTCACAGATGGGTAGTTCCCAAGAGACCAAGTCTCTGCAACCTTCCCTCAGAGCCTGTCTGCATTAAAAAATAAAATAAAATCTTTGTTTCAACATAGAAGAAACAATTTTACACTAAGTGTTATTCTTACTGGCACAAAAGTATAGAAAAACTTTTAAATAAGATTATTTAATAATCTGGACAGAGCTAGCAAGAGGGATATTATCAATGAGGGGTTGCTATTGGCATAAGGTATTATATAGTATAAACCCGACCACTCCTTCAGTTCTAGTGAATGTTCACCCTACTGTTGTTGAAGCAACAGATATCCTAAAAGAAAAATGGGTATGGAGACAGGGTAGCAAAGAGACACCACAAAAACATGACTTCAACCCAGGAGGCTGGTCTTCCCAGCTCCTCCTTCTCTGCACCATTGTTATGCAAGTGTAAACATCTTCACATAGAGAATGAATGGAAATGTATACAAACCAATGAATTATTAATGTTTTTCACACTGTGAAACTAAGTGATGAAATGTTCCCTAAATTAGCTTAACATGAAGATGTGGGGTTTTTCACCACTAGGTTGTCTTTGTAGCTGCTGAAGAACATTCAAGTAAAGGTCATACATAGAATACTTTTTTGAGAACAGATCTTCTAAAGAATGTAATGTCAATTGAAATCACTGAACATCCCCCACCTCCATAAAAAGACATAGATTAAGTGCTCCCAAGGGAGTGTTAGCATCTGTCTGCACACCTGATTGTCTGCTTCTCCAAATTGATAGAGATAATTAAGTTAGGCATAATTTGCATGTTGAGTATATATCTATTCTTTTTCTTAGCCAAGACCATGTCATATTATTAAAACTGCTTTCTTATCCTTTAAAGACTGTATTGGCTACCCCACTTTGTGCCCATGTCTATGTATAATTGTCTTAATTCCTCCACACTACAGCCAGGACTATGATTTACTCATATGTATATCCCTTACATATTCCATACTCATTTTTATATCCCTTACAGCATATTACCTTGCACAGAGTAGGTGTTCAGTAAAGACAGTAGGTGAATTATATGAGGCATCAAATATTTTCTAGAACAATATGATCTAGATGGTCACCTGGTCCAATATGATTCATATGAGAAGTCAGTACTCATTCAAAATCTAATATTCACTGTAAGGTTTAAAAATATAGTCATTCACCCTAGCCAGTTTTGCTCAGTGGTTAGAGCACTGGCCTGCAGACTGAAGGATCCCAGGTTCAATTCCGGCCAAGGGCATGTATCTCACTTTCAGGCTCCATCCCCAGCCCCAGCTGGGGAGCAGGAGGGAGACAACCAGTCGATGTGTTTCTCTCACGTCAATGTTTCTCTCTCACCCTTCCACTCTCTCTGAAAAGCAATGGAAAACAAAGTATCCTCAGGTGATATTATAATGACTATATATATATAGTCATTAGATGTTTTAAAACCACTGTATAGAATAACAGTTTGTAGATATGAATTGTAAATCAGTTGAGTCTCAGGTTCTTATGGATTAGCTCTTGTGTTACATATCAAAAGAAGGAAATGCACATTAGACACCTTAAATATATACCTGTTTGTTCCTCTACACATTAAGAATTTAATAGTTATTACATTAGATGTATTCTTATGCAAATTTCTTTGTATGGCCCTCAGAACTGAGCAGGAAACAATACTTCAAACACTTCAAAAAAAGGTAACAAACTGCAGGTCAATTATCTAATATGGATGGATACCTGGGTGGCTCTCCTTAGAACCACAGCCATATCAGTTTTGTGGTTCTGAGTCAGTTTTGTTGTTGTTGTTGTTGTTGTTTGCCCTTAGTAGGTATTTTAGAGAGAATTCCCAGAGAAGTGGTTGAAAAATTTAGAAAGAATATAGGGCTGTGGTTAGAAGCCTAAAATCCATTCCAAAGGTGAAACTAGAGTACAGAAAAAGAAATCATGGCAAGAATTTTGTCATTTTACAATATATGATATGTCATTATGTTGTGGAGGATATATAAAATCTTCTGCTAACCAAAAAAATAACCTTCTTGTTTAAATAACATATAATGAACAATGCTTCTCCCCAAATCCAGGAAGTGGATGTATGCCTTAAAACAAAGGCGTGGTTTGTCATGCCTGCCATAGATTGCTAACAGCCTTTTGAGCATATTACAGGAGCTAGCTTCAGGGAAGGAGGCTGACTCAAGCAAACAGGAAATTCTAGCTCTGAGAGACTTGCTGACTCTCAACCATAAAAACTGGACCTCAGTTTAACCAGTTTCAAGATAATCATTGGAATGGACTGTGCTGACCTACAGGTAAAGGACTTTCAACTCCTTTTTCCCCTGATTTCTTTGTTCTACTTTCCCTCTCCCTCCTGATAAAAACCCTTATCTGCACTAAGATGTTCAGATGGGCTTTGGGACAAGAGTCTCCCATCTTTTCAGGTGGCCAGCATGTGAATAAACTGCTTTCCTTTTCACCAGCACCTTTCTCATGAGTTTGGTTTTTGTTGTGGCAGATGGCTGAGCCTGTGTTCATTTATAATTATGCTATACCATTTAAACTTATACAATGCTGTATGTCAATTCTGTCTCAATAAAAATGGGAAAAAATAATTTTGTCACAAGATTTGTGCAAATATAATGAGAGGACTGGGGGTCAGGATGATTATTGATGGAGTGGTTTTTAGGGATATGCTACTCAACTTAGACTCATTCCAGATCCCACCACCAGTTACTCTTGAGACCGGTGATATAATGTTGCCTTGTACCAGATGAGTTCAGATACTGGGCAGGAGAGGAGCCTGCTACAGGGAAGATCCTCTGTATCTGCAGCTGAATGGGCCTGAGACAGGCAAAACAGACCAGGCATTAAATTTATTAATGGACCTGTGTTCTCTCCCCATTATACCATTCATACCCAGTGGCCATATACTCAATTCAAATATGCTGTTTTAGAAATATTTATTTTTAACAATAATCATCATCATTCTTTTTAAAGATGGTAGGAGTTGGTGAGGATAAACAAGGAGAGTAGGTGGAAAGAGAAAAATGTTTAAAACCTTTGTAAAACTGATTTTATGGTTTTTAATTACATGATACAACACCCATTGAATTTATAAACAAGTATATGAAGTGAATATCAGTATAACACTGCCCTTGGGCCTATTCTATGAAATTGCCTTTCTGTGAGCTAATTTATTTATATATATATATGGTACTTTTTAAACTTTATCCAATAAATTATGTGAGATAGGATAAAGATTATTCTATTTTATAGCAAATTTCCCTCCATCAAGGATTGTAATAGATTATTATAGACTGGGGTCTGGAAAAAAGACCTTGGAACTGGGAATTTAAAATTAGTATCATGGTAAAACACCCTAGGTCAAGGCCAGTAACCTGAATCGGGATAACCAGCAAAGTGAAGAGAGTAGTAAAACAGTATGGAAAACAGTCAAGAGAAGCAAAACTAGATTTAGAGCCTAAAATAGAGTAAAAGTCCAAATAAGGATTCAAAATAACATGATTACTAGATCAGAAAGCCAGGAAAACATAAGAAAGCCAGTGTTAGATAAAGAAGATCTTTGGGCTATCATTCATTACAGAGAATTCTAAGACGCGATGTTTTTGAGAGATAGCTGAGAGCAGTTGTAGGACAATAGCCTATCATACCCTTATCAAAACAGGTTAGCTGGTCAGCCCCAAAATAGTCAAAATAGTTAATAAACTTGAAACTTAAAAAAAAAAAAACTATTCCCAAAACATTTTAGGAAAGTGTATTAGAAAAACTTTCAGTAAAATCTTATCTTTGCTTAACCTAATCTTATCTGCCACCACTCTATAATATGAGCCCACTAAACAGATTTGCTCATATCTCCCAAATATGCCTTATATCTTTCTACCTATATATCTTTTGCTAGTTATTCCCCCAGTCAAATAATTCCCTCTATCATACTCCCATTTCCCCAAGCATTCTCTATCCAATAAGACCAAATCAAATCCCACATCTATCATGAGGTCTTTTAATTCATCCCAACTTGAAATCGTTTCTCACTCCTCTGAACTCTCAGGTCAGTCAGTGAACCCTCACATTATTAATTTTATTTTTCTGTTCCTATAATTAACTGGATTTCTAGTTATTTGAAGAGGCAGTGAGTGTATATCATCACTTCTGGATTTCTATTGTACATAAATGCACTCAATAAAGATTTATTGAATTGAACTGGAAGTCTTGTCTTAGAGTATATATCTCTATCTTTCCAGCCCCAGCACACACTTTGCTATAAAGCTAAACAACTCAAAATGGTACCTAGTACTGGCTGTGATCTGTTAAAATACAAACACATGTTTAATTTTCTTTTTTCTTCCAGTACATTTCATCTTTTCCAAAACAACATCATCATATTGCTAGAATTTGAAAATTCTCTACCAAATGGAATTAGTCCAAAACTACAACACTACAGAGAAAAAAGTACAAATCACATTGTACTGATCTTATTTTCTTATTTCCAAAATCATAAATAATCATTACAGAAAAAAATAGTAAATAGAGAAACACAAAAAGACATATATATTCAAATCATTTCTAATCCTACCACCCAAAGATTGCCACTATTAATTGTCTGGTACCTAATCTTTCCTTACTAGAATTACTTTATGCTGCCTATCTGCCTAGGTCTTTCTAAATGAAATTACACTACCTATGCCCTTTTTAACATATGCAATTTATCACCCCAGATCATCACCCCAGGCTCAGGTAATATCTCCCCAAAGGAGGTAATACAGAAACAAATGTAGACCAATAAAGTAAGCCAAGCAATAGGCTTTATCTTGAGAATTAAAACTAAAAACAATTAACAATAGGATCTGAACTCAAAAGGTCAGAATTGGAGAAACCATAATGTGCTACAGGCAAGTTAAATTTACAAGGAGCAGATACTATGAGTAAGGTGAAAACAGAACAGAAAAAAGCTGGGAGGCACAGTGTAACTGAGTCATGTTCGAGGGGAGTATTGGAGGGAAGGTTCTGAACTCTAATCCCCCAGATCCTCCTTAAATCCAGAACTACCTCTAGCTCCACACTCCATGACATCAGCTGTATAATGGCCTGGATTCCCAGAAGATTTCCTTTAAAATTTCTTATGTAGCCCATCAATGAGAGCTTTTTACTTAAGCTATCTTGAGTATTTTAAGAACAAAACTAAGGACATTTCCATGTTTTGTTTTTTTTTCTATAGGTATATGTTTTTTCTAAACATAGTACATATGCTGCTTAGAAGCCTGGTTTTTGACACAGTGCTATTCCATAGAAGTATTAATGTGCATCTTCAATATAAATGGCTTCATGACATTTTGTTGTATCATAATCTGTTTAACCTATACTGTATTACTAAACATTGGATATTGTCTCCAGTTTTACACTAATATAAATTATTTTTCCCTTGACACTTTTGACATATATTGTGTTTTCCAATTATTTCCTCAGGATAAGAATAAATTCTTCACACAATATAACTTACATAATAAGGTCATCAAAATTCTGTCCTTGAAATATTCCAAATATTTCACAGTTCTTCTTCACCTTTTTCTGAAAGAATAGTCTAATACTTTAGGATAGCCTACAATAAGATGAAAAAGGGCTAGAAAAGTTTTTTTCCCTTTATATTTAAATGTGTTGCTTTTTCTAAAGGCAGTTCCAAAGATTGTAGTTGCTAAATACTTCCCTAGTCCTTTTTCTAGGTGCCAGAATCTTCACAGTCTCTCAATTCTAGGCTAGGTCCCTTCTAGATTTCTTTCAGGCACAAGCAACAAAGTCTCTTTTCAAGATAATGACAGAGAAATAATAAGACAGAGGAAAAAAATAATAGAATAGAAAGAGAAATATCTTTCTTATTCAACAGTGAAAATTAAGTTTAAGATGCCAGTAAAAAGTTTAAATATCCAAATTTTTAAAATTTATTAGAAAAATTAGGAATTTTTTTTTGCCCTGGCCAGTGTGGCTCAGTTGGTTGAGCATCGTCCTGTGCACCGAAATGTTGCCAGTTCAATTTCTGGTCAAGGCACATGCCCAGGTTGCGGGTTTGATCTCCAGTCAGGATATGTGTGGAAGGCAACAGATCGTTGTTACTCTCTCACATTGATGTTCCTCTCTCTCTTCCTCTCTCTTCCTTTTTCTCTCTAAAATCAAAAAAATAATTTTTTTTCAAAAAGAAAAATAAAGACAAAATTTTAAAAACCTGTTTTATGTTAATGACAAATGATAGAATAATAAAGTCACTTAAGGAAAGTAATGTCTGAAAGTTCTTAGCTAAGAAGGCATGACTACAATACATTTATTACTATTATTTTGATATGATACTATACTTATTTTAGAAATATCCATGTCCTCAAACAATAAAAATTCTTATTTTGTAGGAGCTTGTGATATCTGGAAGGAGTGTCCTCCTAGCCAACCTGAGAATTTATGAAGCAATCTTGCCCCTAGTTACTGTGACAGGCCCTGGGTACCACTGTGAAAGCCACCAGAATGAAGATTTGTGAGTTATGTATTTATCACTAAAGCAATGCCTGATCCAGGCACATGCTTGGAGGACTGCCAACAGTATTTATGACAACTAAATTGCACAAAGAAATCAGTAATAGCATTTACAGGCCACCACCCCTTAATAGCAGTATATTCTAACATAAAATGACTCTTTAGCTTACCATGCTCAAGGCAATGGCTGTGGGTTTTTTGTTCATTTGTTTGTTTTTTGTTTTGTAAAGAATAACACTGATTTTTAGAGAGAGAGAAAGGTAGAGGGAGAGAGAGCGAGAGAAACATTGATGTGAGAGCAGAACGTCGATCAGCTGTCTCCTGCACACCCCCTACCAGGGATCAGGCCCACACCCTAGGCTTGTGCTCTCACTCAGAACATGGGACGACGCCCAACCGACTGAGCCACACTGGCCAGGGCAGTGGCTGTGTTTTATTTCTCACCAATGAATGATGAGCCCAGCCGGATCCAGGCGATTGAGGTTCAATTCCCAGTCAGGGCACATGCCCGGGTTGCGGGCTCGATCCCCAGTCAGGGGCATGCAAGAGGCAGCCAATCAGTGACTCTCTCATCATTGATGTTTCTATCTCTCTCTCCCTCTCCTTTCCTCTCTCTGAAATCAATAAAGATACATTTAAAAACAACAACAACAAAAAACAATGAATGCTGAAGGCAGAGCAATGGAAAACCACTCATTCTACACCATCATGAACTTAAAGCAGACAATGTTTTTCTAAATCACATCTCCTGTACACTTTAACATTTACACACCTGTGAGAGCTTTAGAATTAATTAACACTTAGAAATCATAGCAAAGTTTTCATCATTTAAAAATACTCAAGAATAGCAGGAAGATAATTATTGTGCCAAACAAGAGGTCTTTTTTTATAAAGATATGTTGATTAGTAGTTGATTTTATCATCTTTTTCTTTCTTATATCTCATTAAACTGGACTCAAAATACAGTATTTAAAACTAAACTAACCAGAATATGGTGCCCATGAAATCACCATATAACACCTAACCAGAGGATAGAATTAAGGCGCATTATTAGTAAAGGCCCATATTTCTTCTGACTTTGTCCCCCCAACCACAATTTTGGGATCCCCAGATTATTTCATAATCCCTTCAGTTTTACGTGGGTGTCCCCATGAACAAATCCATTCTGCCTCCACTATCTGCAAAAGAGCAGCCACAGAGACATTATCTACAGGAGCCCATCCTTGTGATGCTAAATTCTCATAATGCTAAATGTAGAGAGCTCTTTAGAAAACTCTATGTGCCAAAGCCACGCTGTGTTCCTTCCAGGAAAGAGAGAATGCTCTCTTCCTTTTTAACTTGGTGCCCGGAGACCACAGTAAATATGCTTAGTGTCTTCATGTCTTAGAGAGAGATTGAGGACACTGCTATCCTTGACTCATATTGTCTATAAGGCCTATGTAGCATAGGACCAGGGACATTGCTGAGAAACTGACAAGGTGCTACACAGAAAATCAAGGCTCCCTTCGATGCCTGAGGCATCTCTTAAGGCCAAGGCCCTCCTGCCTGGCTTTTCTTTCTTAAGCATGAGTTCTTTCCCAGGAGGCTTTGTTGGGTCTTACAACTAGACCACTGGCAGGCCCACTCACCCACCCAAGCCAGACATGCTTAAATCCTAGCAGGAAATACATCCTTGACCCTAGTAGGGTCAAATACATACATATTATTTTAACATAATACAAAAAATTATGTTAAAATCTGTATAATTTAGGCTTTTTGACATATGCTTTGTTCTGTTGACATTGGGACAACCTACAGGGTCCCCAGTGTGCTCAAAACAGCAACAAAATACTAATGTCAAAGTTCACAGCCATTCTTAGTTATTGTTATATACCCAGAGCAGGATAAAAGGCTAAAAATGGCCTGGTGAAATGAGACTGTAGAATGTAGTTTTTCACAACCATTTAGAGAAATTTCTTTGTTCCTGTTATTTAGAGCATCAGGATAAGGCATATTTACCTATTTATAAATGTGCTCTTAGGAAAATATCCTAAGAATCCTGAAACACCAATCAGAAAGAATATATGCACCCTATGTTCATAGCAGTGCTATTTACAATAGCTAAGATCTGGAAACAGCCCAAGTGCCTATCAGTAGATGAGTGGATAAAAAAGCTGTGGGACATTTACACCATGGAATACTATGCATCTGTAAAGAAGAAGGATCTTGTACCCTCTGGGACAGTATGGATGGACCTAGAGAATATTATGCTAAGTGAAATAAGCCAGGCACAGAAAGACAAGTATCACATGATCTCACTTACATGTGGAATCTAAAGAACAAAATAGATCCAGATACATGGAAGCATGGAACAGACTGATGGATCTCAGAGGGAAGGGAAGAAGAGGGTGAGAAGAGATTAACCAAAGAATTTATATGCATAACCCATGGACACAGACAATAGTGCAGTAGGCCTAGGGTGGGAGGCTCAGGTGTGGGTGAAAGGGGCCAATAGGGGGAAAGGGGACATCTTTAATCAACAATAAAGATAAATTTAAAAAATGTGCTCTTAAAAGGTAGACTTCAAGAGATGATTGCTACACATAATACAAAAATCCAAATCACTTAAGTTAATATTAGAAGTCAACATTAACCACACAATAGTCCAATGTTCAAAGGTAAATGGAGTGAACTGCTTTGAACAGCACATTTACTCTGTTCCTTTTTTTTGTTCTTTGTGTCATCAGGAATCATCAAGAGTTGTCTTTCCTCCAAAGATGGATGGCTTTATACTGACTTCAAACCTTTTTTCTTTTATTATGTGCTGTATGTCTCTATTTCCAGAAATGTATCATTCTTCTATTACAAAAAATTATGTTAAAAATCTGTATAATTTAGGATTTTTGGCATGTGCTTTGTTCTGTTGACATTGGGACAACCTACAAAGATTTTACCATATATAAAAACAACTTTAAAAATGGAAGCATGGAACAGACTGACAAATCTCAGAGGGAAGGTGGGGGTGGGTGGGCAGAAATTAACCAAAGAATTTATATGCATATATGCATAACCCGTGGACATGAACAATAGTGTGGTGAAGGCCTGGGGAGGGGAGTGGGTGCGGGGTGGAAGGGGCCAATGGGGACAAAAGGGGACATCTGTAATATTTTCAACAGTAAAGATAAATTTTAAAATTAAATTAAATTAAATTTTTAAAAAACTCTACACTGTTCCCATATTGGTTTGCTATTGCCATTTACAAATGCATTGATTTTATGTTATGTCTTAAAAGAATACACGCATTATTTGGAATATGTTTCAATCTTTGAAGAAATACACAAGAGAAGTCCTGTGTAGAATGGTCATATCTTCTGTGAAGTATTTTAATGTAAAGATATTTACAGATGGTGCATGTTACTACATTATTTACATAATTAGTAGGTGTTTCATTTATTAATCATAATTGTAATAAAAACTGTTTCACATCTGTATTGTGTACAACTTTTTATGTGAATTCAGAAACTTCACTCCAGTTTTAAGCAATTCAAGGCGAATTAAAACACTAAAAGTACACTCTGTACAGAGTCTTTGCTATTAGCATGTTCAAATGTATTGAATTTATGTTATGTCATAAATGAATACATGCATTAACTATCTGGAACATATTCAAATCTTTGTTAATACAAAAAAAATTAATAAATCCAGAGATGTTTATCTTAAAACAAAAAAATGTACACAATCTTATAAATAGATGCTGTAATTGACAAAATTCAAATCCATCCTTGATAAAAATATCAGCAACTTAAGAAGGGAACTTCCTCAAACTGCTAGGCAATATCTACAAAAAAACCCCTAAGCTTACACCATACTTAATGATGAAAGACAGATGCTTTCTCCTTAAGGTCATGATCAAGGCAAGGGTGTCCATTCTCACCACTTCTATTCAATATTATATTGAGGATTCTAGTAAGTGCAAAAGAGAAAGAAAACAAAATGAAGCCCTCCATATTGGAATAATTGAGAGATGACATTGTTTATGTAAAAACGGTCCTATGGAATCTACAAAAAAAAAAAAAAAAGCTACTAAAATTAATAAGTGAGTATGGCAAGGCTTTAGGGTATAAGATTGACATAGAAAAATTAATTTTATTTCTATAAAACAGAAACAATCAGTAATTAAAACTGAAAAAGATAATACCATTTGTAATAGCATAAGTATAAAATATACAGGGATAAATTTCACAAAAAATGTGAAGGTTTATAGGCTGAAAACTATAGGACACAGCTCAAAGAAATGAGAGACATATCATGTTCATAGATTGAAAAAGTCAAGGATGTTAAGATGTCTGTTTTCCCCATATTGGTATATAGATTCAACACTATTCCAATTTTTTAGAAAGGAGTTTTTGGTAGAAATTGACACGGTTCTATAATAAATATGGCAATGGAAAGAACTTAGAACAGCCAAAACAGCTTTGCGAAAGAACAAAGTTGGAGGACTAGTGATGCCTGATTTTAAGACCTTTGATAAAGCTACAATTATCAAGACAATAATATTGATTTGAAGAAAAACTAAGAGAAAAAAAATAGAAAAGCCACATACTTGGAGAATATATTAAAAATGTATTTAAAAACTTAAAATGTAATAGTAAATAAAGCAAACAATATAATTATTTTTAAATTGGTCAGAATATTTGCACAGACACTTCACCAACAAAAATATATGTATGGTAAATAAGCATAGAAAAAAATGCTCAAATCTTTAGTCATTAAGGAAATGCAAATTAAAAACAAAAGGAGATTCCACTATACACTGTTAGAATGACTAAAACTAAAAGACTGATCATACCAAATATCAATGAGGATATGGAGCACCTACAACTATTACCCACTGTTAGTGGGAATGTAAAATGGTACAATTGCTTTGGAAAACAGGTCCACAATTTTTGAAAAGTTAAACATAGACTTAATATATATCTTACCATTCTGCTTCTAAATATTTACCTAGGGAAATGAAAGTATATGTTCATACAAAGATTTATATAAGAATGTTTATAGTGACTTTATTATAATGGCCCAAACTAGAAAAACACAAATGTCCATCAACAGGTAAATGGGTAAACAAACTGTAGTGTGTACATAGAATGGAAGATGCTCAGTATAAAAATTAATGAACTATTGATACACACCCCAACATAGATGAATCCAAAATAATTATGCTGAGTGAAAGAGATAAACACAAAAGAGTACATACTACACAATTCCATTTATATAAAATTATATAAATATATAATATATTCCATTATATTCTAAAACATACCAACTAATCTATAGTGACAGAAAACAGATCATGGTTTCTTGGGAATATGAGGTGGGAAGGGAAAGTAGAGAGAAGGGGTTATAAAGGGGCACAAAAAATGTTCAGATGGGATAGATTTGTTCACTATCATGATTGTGGTGATAGTTTCACAAGTATATAAATAAGCTAAAACATCAATTTTTTTGCTTTAAATATATGTAGTTTATTGTATTTCAATTAAATCTGTTAAAACACACACACACACACAAAATCTGTCCCCAGACTATCAAATGGCAAATATCTCTTGAAGTTTCAAAGTTGGCACCGATATTAAAAATTGCTATTATTCATATCAACTTTCTAACTTCTAAACAGTCTGCAGTAGCCTGCAATAAATGGATATTTGGAATTACAATATTTTGAGTCACTAAAAGTCTTATTTTGCACCACAGTGAAACAGTAAAATGTTAAATTACTACTCTTTTTGAAGCAGTGAAATGTTAAATTACTACCTTTTAACTTGAAAGCCTTGAACCAATTTTAGGACTATATATAGGAATCCTGGAGTAGGAGGCTACTGTCCTTGAAGGTTTAGCTTTAATGCATAGAACACAGTGCATTTCAGTGGGTTGTGCTAGTAACCCAACCTCCGAAAGTTTTTGCCACCCACTAGGTACCCAGTAATCTAGTCATTAAATGAGTAAAGAAATCCATTGACTTAGCAATAGGATGATGACGCTTTTATCTCATCTATATTATAGGTCGTTCACTGTACTATGTGCCAAGCATACAAGAGTAATTATAAGCTCTCTACCTGAGGGGACTCATCATTTAGTGTTATCTTGATATCAACAAGCAATGCTATTATGCAAAGAACAAATATTTAGCAGACGTTGCTAAAAAATAAGATGCAACTCTGTAATTGCAGAAATAATAGCTTTGAATTTATAAGAAATAGGGTTTTATGCCCTTGAAAGGATAAAGATGAGTGGATTATGGTTTTGATTTGTGAACGCCCTGTCAATAAAAAAGAAATCAAGCACAGTACATCAATAGTACAAAGAAAGATGAAAATCTAACACTGTGTAGTAAATTATCTGTTCACTAGGCCTAAATTACCTTTAAGTTGAATTTGGTTTTGCCATGTATGAAGATTGCTGCTTCTGTAGCCTTTATATTGACATCTGTAGCATGTTTCCAAGTTGACTCATTACCTTGTGATAGATTTCAAATTCTATTTCTAGACCTTTTTTTTTTTTCAGATTCCAGAATCAAAACTAATTGCCCATATGATCATTTCTCAAATAAGAAAGTATTTTGCATCACTCACATAAGTGTGTCCTAGATTATGGTCAGCAAGTTTAAATAAACAAATGCATCTAATGGGTGTAGTGCAGGTAAATGGGTGTGATTAGTAGGCACTTCCCTATCATTAGTTTGTAACCTTTCACAATAACCCTCACTCCTGTTAATGAGCCTTTTTTTTTACACTTGACCCTGCTTCTGAAACTTGATCTAAACTCTAAATGCTCTGGCTATATCTACATAACACAGAGCAAAATGAAGATCCAGGGAAGTAGAGCTGGATACAGTAAATTTGAATGATTCACATTTAGGTATTTTGCTAACCTTTGAAGGCTAAGTCACTATTCAGTCCTAAACTGTCTCTCCACTAAAAGTAAAAACAAAAAACTGATTCAGCTAATACAAACTAGATATAATTATATGTTGTACCTCTGGTTAACCTGCCCAATCTTAATTTAAAAAGGCGCCTCAGTTCATTCTATAATCTCAAAATGTCTAAGTACTATTAAAAAAAAGTACAATAGAAAAATTATATCCTGAGTTTAGTAATACAAAATAACCTATTGTTTTGAAGACTAAATTTAGTTGGGCTAGCAACTAGATTGCCATACTCATAGAATGCTCTTAAGAGTTTTTTTCATTCTCTCATTTTTAGTCAACATCAATCATAGCAAGCACAGTGATGCTGTAAAAACTTATTTCTAAAGTCAAGAACCAAAGTTAAATCAATACACACTGACTTGCCTTACCGGAGTACATTCTTAGAATAAATAGACATTAACTTGACTTTAGTTTTTTTTTGTTTTCAACTTTCATATACAGTGAAAACATGGGGTACTGTTTTCAACACTAATAAACTGAATGCATATAGAGAATTACAAACAGTACATTTATTTCTCCTCTAGCACTCTCTGCCCTCTTAATTACATATTTCAGTTGCATTAACATTACTTCTTTGGGGAATTTTCCATTAACTGATCAATCTGTCTATTAGGACATTTTCCCTAAAATAATATTGAGCTCCTGCTTTCCTTTGCTATCCCCCCCAATTAGTGCTAATTAGGTCCCCTTGGATCAGGGAGGTAATACTGTTCCATCTTGTCATTCTCTTTCAAATGCTGTAGACAATGATACACAGCTTTATTTATTACGCATTGAATACTTTTAAACTGTCCTGAATAATTTTGTCTGAGATTGTAATTATGTTGACTTGCCACCCTTCCTTGAAAGTTCTTAAACTTTCTGATCTTTTCAAAGCTAAGGTATTTAAATTTTACTATAATATATTAGACAAAGG